GGCTACTTCTATCTAGTGGGCAGAGGCCGGGGATGCTGCCAAGCATCTTACAACACACAGGACAGCCTCTCACTGCAAAGAATGACCCGGCCCCACTGTCAGAGGTGCCCAGGTGGAGAAACTGTCTTCCAGGGACTGAGATCTGCCTCTGGGCAAAAGTGAGGTCTAAGTACAAGTCGAATTGGTGTCAAGGAGGGTGAAAGGTGAGGAAGGGAGAGGAAGGCCTGTTAGTAGAAGACATACGGTAGCCTAAGGCCCCAGGAGAGAGTGAGAGGGACCGAGGTGCAGTGAGTGGCAGACAGTGGGGAGCTTGGGGTTGGCTAGAGAGGGACAAACACTGGATGTCCAGTGAAATGTTAACATTCTCTCTCTCTCTATCTCTATCTGTGTCTCTTCCTCTATCTACGATTCCATCTCTGTGTCTCCCTCTCCCCACCTCCCCACATCTCTGCTTCTCTCTGCGCCTCCCTTTCTCCCCCACAGGGTGATTCTGGGGGGCCCGTGGTCTGCAATGGCACCCTACAGGGACTCGTGTCCTGGGGAGACTTTCCCTGTGCTCAGCCCAACAAACCCGGGGTCTACACCAACCTCTGCAAGTTCACCAAGTGGATCCGGGACACCATCCAGGCCAACTCATGAGTCATCCCAGGGCCGGGCGTTCTGGTGTCCCCCACCCCCTGCAAGTCCTCACCCTGCAGGGGCCTGACACTCCTTCCAGACCCCCCATTCCTTCCCAAGGATGTTGAGGGTGCTAACCTCCAGCCCCCTGAGTTTCCAGGGTCTCCCTTCCCCGACCATGGACTGATCCCATGTCTCCAGTTGGATCCTGGGGACATGTCCTGGAATAGCCAGAAATAAAGTGTCTAAGGAGAAGTGGACTCTGTGTGTGGTCTCCTCCCCGCCGCACCCCCTGGGCGGCCTGGCAACCCCTCCCTACTTTCGTGCTTGCTCCGGGCACTTATTTCAATGTCAATAAACAGACCCACTCCAGCTGCTTTCCACTTTCTTCACCAGTATTGATCCAGTGTCTGGCTGTCGTGTGCCGGGAACTGTCCCAGAGGCTGGGGACGCCTCAGCAGGCAAAACACAGGGGGGGAAATCCTGCCTCTTAGAGCTCATGTTCCAGGCAGAGAAGCCAGACCGTAAGGGGATAGACAAATACATTAGAGACTGTTGTAAATGTGTCCATTATATGAGTAGAATGAGAGCGGGACACAAGGAAAGAGAAGGAAGCCGGGGGAAGGGGTCTGTTTATATTGGACGGTCATGGGGCGGAATGACAGCATCTTCCCCAAAGATGTCCACACCCTAAACCCTCGAACTTGTGCATGTGTGACCTTGGGCAAAGGGACTTGCAGGTGTGATTACATTAAGGATCCTGAGAGAGGGGGATTATCCTGGGTGACCGGGGTGGGACCATTGTAATCCCCAGGGTCCTCAAGAGGGGGAGTTGGGGGGTCAGAACTAGAGATGCGATGATGCTAAGTTCTTAGTTTCAACGATGAAGGAAGAGCCAGGAGCCTGGAAGCGTAGGCAGCCTGTAGGAGCTGGACTAGCACAGGGACGGACTGTCCCCTGGGGCCTCCCGACCTGCCAAAGTCTTGATTGTGGCCCATCCAGACCATCTGGGACTTCTGACCCCGAGAACTGTAAGAGAATAAATGCATGTTTCTTGAAGCCTCTAACTGTGGTCACTCATGATGGCAGCCCTGGGACACTAGGGGGTGGCACTGGAACTGAGACCTCCAGGGTGGCAGGAGCCGACTCCCACGAATATCTGGGGGCCTGGTGTTCCAGGCGGAGACATGGGCAAAGGGTCCGAGGTGGGGACTGGCTGGCCATGTCCCAGGAACCTATTAAAGTCAAACACAAACATCTGTAATACTGTCAACAATAAAAATTAATTTTAAAAATTTAGAGTTGGGGTTAAAGGAGGGTGAAAGGGACCGTTGACGGGCATTATCCGGATGGGAGAAGTTACTCATAAGGTGAAAATGGACAAGAGACTAGGGCCTATGAGATGCAAGAGGCACCCGGGGCCGAGAGGGAAATGTGGGCCCCGCGGGGAGGGGCAGCGGACGGGAGCAGGCCGTTTGCAGGGGCGGGACCCCGGGAGCCCCCATGCACAGGAGGTGCGAGCGGTTCCTTCGGGGAGATGGAAATTGAAACAACAAGGAGCTGTGGCTTTGCACCGGTTAGGCCACAAAAAATGTGGAGGTTGGATACTGTCGAGTGCGGCCAGGGAAACACAGGCGTTAGAATGTTTAGGTGCGCCCTGGCCGGTGTGGCTCAGGGTCAGGGGGGCCCACGCACCGAAGGGTCTCGGGTTCGATTCCTGGTCAGTGACACGCACCTGGGTGGCGGGTCCCATCCCCACCCATGTGTCTCTCTCCCATCGATGTTTCTCTCTCTCCCCTTCCCTTCCTCCCTCCCACTCTCTAAACATCAACGGAGAAAGTATCCTCAGGTGAGCGCGGCGCTCCTCCCCTGGGGAAGGACCCGGCTCTATTTCATCAAGTTAAATGAGGACTCACCCGGTGGCTCCGCGTGTGCCCAGCATATTTCTCCTGGCTCTGCGTCCGGGACCTTCTCGGCGCCGCGAGGAAACACGCAGGTAGCGCGAGGATGGGCCTGGCCCTGCGCCTCGTGGGCGCCGCGGGCAGCTAAGGGGCGGGCCCCACCCCGGGCACTGTGGGTGAGCCTGTGGGCAGCGCCGGGGCTCGGTGCAGTGGGGCAGGTGCGTGAGCCCGGCCACGCGGGTGGGCCCTGAGCACAGGTTCTGTTTGGGAAATGACTTAGAATGAGAGACAGAATCGAATGGCAACTACATAAATTAAAACTACA